CCATAGCACTGAATGGTTGGGTCAAGTGGCCCTCTTGACCCAAGTCCTGACTGTGTGTCAAGTGTCTTGACTCTCTTATGTCTTCATTTTCGAACGGCATTTAGTACTTCTTTTGCTACACTCCTTTAAGTTCAGACCTCCTGGCAAGAAGATAAGCAACACAAGGGTAGGGGAAAGTAGGCATAATACGCAGCACAGACTGGCTGTGCAGTAAATACTTGAATGGAGGCATGATCGTCTCCCGCAAGCACTGATCCCAAGAGGGATCCTGTAAAACCTCCTCAAAAGCTAAGGAAGCCATTCCTTGCACCGTTGTTGCCCAGGTAGAGTGGCCTAAAATATACAGTGCAGGAAGAGGGAGAAAGCTCAGCAGTCAGCCGGTCAATGTCCCCGGTGCTAACGTGACTGGGCTACATCTCCCAGCATGCTCATGGCACTGGCATTCTCTACTCCAAACGGAAAGTTTCCTAAGAGCAGCTGAGAACCGGGCAATTTTAATTACAGCCAGTTGGCTGCAAAGGGAGTGGAAACTCTCCCCTTTTCTGGCCCCTGGAACGCAGGACGGTGCAATGGAGCTTCATGGGGTGGGAAGTTGGTTCCTGGCCCTGAGAGGGGGCCCTAGTATAGCGAGGAGGGTCTTCCTATAAGTGTATACATACATATGTTCATCTGACATTGAGAGCTCCTGCCACGTGCCATCGCTTGGCAACCACCGTGAATTCAAGATGCCTAAGGCAGTCCCTGCCTTGAAGGAACTTGGAGTCCAAGGGGATGGAGGGCACAGAGGGAAGACAAGGAAGCAGAACTAGACCTTGTGATGGTCCCAGTAGCCTCAGTTATAAGATTTCAGAGGAGACAGATGCAATTTCTGAGATGGATGATGATAAAAGACTCCCAGAAAAGAAAGTAGGTTTAATCTTTTTGAAGTGGAGAGAAGGGTAGATGAAATGGAAGAATTAAAAGCAAGAAGCAGAAAAATGCAAGGTAGTTACAAAGCTGACGGGGTTGGGGGAGGGGGTCTAGGAACTTAGTCCCCATGTGTGGATGACGGGGTGAAACCTGGCAGACCCCAGAGAAGCACTCTGGTTGCTCTAAGGTCGTACAGACAGTTCTCCAGGCACTTCAAAACACCAAACACTGGCTTATGTAGAAATCAAAAGGCCCAGCTGGTCAAAATTTCAAACTTTCTCTTAAGTCAGAGCTTCTTTCCCTCCCCTTCCCCGCCCCCACCATGCTTGTTGCAGATGAAGAGCCTGAAATCAGGGCAAGAGGGGTCATTGGTCTCTCCCCTTCCTCACCCAGCTCTCTCTTCTCCTGTGCCTTGCTCACTTCTCACCCTTCAAGGCCTTCTGCATGCGGGGAGGGAGACAAGGTTAGGGGAGCAGGAGAGTTCTTCCTTGACTGGGACTCTTGTGGCCGACACAGCTGGCATTGGTATTCTCTGAGTGTGACAAATGTTTAAGGCTTACTGTTTCCCACAGGGGCACTTTGTACTTTCTCTGGAGACCTGCCTTTTTCCTCACCCCCTCCACGATAGCTGAGAACCTTTTGCCTTGACTCGGACATATGTATCTCCATTTCAAGAGGTCACTTACTCCTTCCTCTGCCCTTGGGCATCTCAAGATGCCTGCAGCTTCTTTCTGCTGAGTGCTGTTTACCCCTCCAAGCAGCCCACTCAGACAAGACCTAAAATGAGTAGAATGACTCACGCAGACCCCGTCCATGGCTCATTCTTGTCTCTGTGCAGCCCTCATGTACTTTTTGTCTCCGCAAACTCTGGGAGCACAGTGCTGCCACCTCTCTCCAGCTCTGCCAGCAGAGCGGCTGACCAGCCCTTCGCTCCACTTTCATTTTTCCAGGCAGGAGGCAGACGCTAGTCCGCTGTGCTCCCCGAACCGCAGGGGCTACTATCAGTTGCTCCACATGTTCTCATCCAAATCACTCTCTCTTGACTTGGGATGAGAGGGATCCTTCTTTGGGGAAGGGTGAGGTGAGCTGTATGTAGCAAGAACACATTCCTGAGAGTCAGCCACCAACTTTTTTTGTCCAAAGCGTGGATGAGGGATTGAGAATTATGTGACCTGTTTTCGTCCATCTCTCTTGAAAGCTCTGTATCATTGTGCCCTCAGACTTCCTTTGAAATGTAGTGTCTAGTGCCTCAGTGCTTCAGCCAAAATTCCTTTTTAACTTTTTGTTACATTACTTATTATCTAAGTGTCATGATAACGCTATAAAGTAGATAAACGTATTCCCACCTTAGAGAATAGAGAACTGAGCTTCAAAATGACCAATGTGGCAAGAACATGTTTCAAATCCAGATCTCTCTGACTCTAGAGATCTTAGACTGTTCTAGAATGGAGGATACATGTGGCTCCACATAAATTCTCAATAAGTATTCATTAAATGAATAAAAAGGCAATTTGCTTAGGTTATAGAGGAACGTGAATGCCTTGATAGTAATTGGTAGGGAGAGAGAAACCACTGAAGAATCACAAGTGGCGATGATAGTGAGGAAAATGTGACAGATATACAAATGAAGTGAGAAAGGAGAAAGAGTGGAGAGAGAAAGGCACTTCAGGAGGCTATGGGAAAAGTCCACAGAGTAAATTACGAAGGACATGGTGGGTGTCCCTTTGTCGGAGTGACGAGGATAACAATTAGAGACAGGGTGACAAGGAAACAGAAGCAGCGGTTACACCGCAGCTACCCGTGGCGTAACAGCTGGATGGGGCGCAGGAATGGGTGGCCAGCCAGAGGAGCCAGCAGGGCCAACGAAAGGACGTTTTTCCAGGATGGGCGAAACCTTGTCTTGTTTGTAGACAAAGCATTGAAAAGACAGAGAGACTCTAAAAGTGCTGGAGAAAGGGGGAGAAACAACTGAGGGAACACGGACTGAGGGGGGATGAGAGGGTACGGGTTCACGCAGAAGGAAATGAAGGACACGCCTTCCTCTAAGACAGGAAAGGGAGAGACACACGGAAAAAAAAAAGGCTGAAGGAGATCACACGTGAAAGAGTAAACGTTATCAGTGATATGGGGCTCAGAATAATGAATTGGAAGTTGAGGACCAAGGAGGGGCAACACCTGTGTTTGAGGGAGAGTTTGAAACAGCCATTATGCTCTATGTGTTTAGAAATCAACTGTGGAAACCAACGGTGGGTGAATAAGTACCACCAACCATCCAGGGCATTGAGGTTCAACAGTCAGATTTCACAGAAGCCCAAATTAGCAATATTCCATGGCCAAGAAGCAAAAGGAGAGAAAGCATGCGGCGAGCATTATCTCCAGCTGGGCACAGCAGGGCACAGCAGGGCACAGCAGGGCGAGGGCTGAGGGCTGAGAGGGTTTAGTTTGCAAGGTTAGGATTAAAATTTCTAGTCATTAAGTCCAGATTGCACTAGAAAGCCTAGTGGGGCCAGGAAAAAATTAACGGTTTTGCTAAATGATCCTGAGAGGTCTCAGTAGAGACAAGGATTTGCTACCTGCATTTGGGGAAATGGGAAAGGTGTCAGTGAAGACATAAAGGTCAGGCTTCCCTGAGTCGGGGTCTCAGGAGTAGTACAGCACTTGGGCACCCCAATGCCAGGTGTGGCCTTGTTGGTGAAGGGCTCATATGCAACATAATGGGAAGTCTTCGGCTTAAGTGCCTCATGGTAAGTAATCTTTCTGGTCAAACTACGAGACAACCATGAGCTCAGGGACAGGGAGACAGTATTTATATCAGTACTTTACAAAAAAAGAATGTCTTCAAACAATGAGAATCAGAGAAAAAGGAGGCACCAGAACTCATGAGAACTCCAGCTTGCATAGGACTTATTTTACCTTGCTTTCTATAATAGCCATTTTTTTATTGTAGGATCTGAACAGGACTATTTTGGGCACTGCTCTGCTGTGGTTGCCCTAACTCTTAAATGTTGTTTATAGATTGTTTCTATCACACAGACAACCTCTATTACTTTCAACACAAAGATCAGAGACCTTGTTTATAGGATGCACTGCCTCTGGGCATGACAGTACTTAAACTTTCTTAGCCCTGGCTGGTGTGGCTCCATGAATTGAGCACTGGCCTGTGAACTTAAAGGTCACTGGTTCGATTCCCTGTCAGGGCACAGGCCTGGGTTGCAGGCCAGGTCCCCGGGTGGGAGCGTGCCTCACACATTGATGCTTCTCTCCCTCTCTTTCTCTCTTTCCCTCCCCTCTCTCTGAAAATAAATAAATAAATAAATCTTTAAGAAAAAATACAACCTCTATTACTTTCAACACAAAGAATCAGAGTCCTCGTTTATAGTATGCACTGCCTCTGGCCATAACAGTACTTAAACTTTCTTAGAAATATTAGCTACATTTTCTTTTCATATGCCTATGGAATGGTGCCATAGAAACCTTTAATAAATACATACTGACTACATATGACTGTAGCTTTCTTTTGGCGAAGTGGGCATTCTCATTCAGAAAGACAGCCATATTAAAAGATCTTAATATATAGATATTTGCCTCACCTTTGCATCCCAGCGGCCACAGGTATCAAGTCACAGGGTCTTTTGTTAGCTAACAAAATGATATGGTACCCTTTAAATAAAATTATTAGCCTCTTCAGGGAAGAAATTTGAAAAATCTATGATACTCACATCACTGAAAGAAATTGAGTCACAAAATTACTTGCCCAAGGTCACAAAGTAAATTGGGGATACAGAGAAGAATATTTGGGCCCTCTTCAGGAAGTCCATTTAATGCCCCCATTGATCTTGATGTCACCTCAGAGGCAGAATCTTGTGAAATTTAACATGATGACATCAACCTGAACCAAGTTCCAAAGCTGCCCAGCCCGCTGAACCTAAACTAAAGACCTTTGGGAGACAAGGAGCAAGATCAGGCACCAGCATCTAGCTCTCCTCACTTGGCCATGTTTCCAGCAAAATCCTTTAGGGCTGAGAATTTCAGAAAGGGGACCTAAAGTTGCATTTCCACATCATGTCCTCTGGCTCTTCTCTCCCTTGCAGCTCCGAATGGCCTGGCTCATCCGTGGGGTCTTGCGGGGAAATGTCTCCTTGGTGCTGGTGGAGAACAAAACCGGGAAGGAACAAAGCAGGGTGGTCTGGCATGTTGCCACTAACGAGGGCTTGAGCCTGTGGCAGTGGACGGTGCTGCCTCTCCTCGACGTCACTGACAGGTGGGCCTCCCCCCATCCCCACTGCTCCCTTTTCCTCTCTCAGCCAGAATGCAGAGGGAGTCGCACCTTCCCTCCCCGTCCTCTCTACCCGAGACACACATCCAGGTGTGCACATGCATAAATGTGTACACACGCATGCACACACACACGAACACCCACACACTTTCTGCAGGCTTGCAGAGTGTGGAGTTTCTTGGAGGGATGCCAGTGCTAATGAGCATTTACCATCCCGCACCTCTGGCCTGGCCCAATGGGCTGCCTCCAATGTCTGTAGGAAGAAATAAAGTGGGACAACTCACGTCACTCCCAAGTAATAATCAGCATTACATGTATACAGCATTTTCTCTCCTTAATGGATTTTCCTTTTCCATTTGACTACTTATTCCTTAATTAACAACAACAAAACCTGCCACGCAGGTACAACAGGCCTTACCATGTTCCCCGCTCCTGCCCTTTGTACGAGGGAAGAAACTGAGAGCCAGAGAGGTGAAGCACCAGCAGGTTGGCCTCAGAGTGCGGACTGGCGCTCAGGTCGATCGGCGTCCAGTGCTCTGTAGCGTCAGGTCCCCGAGGCAGGTGGAGGAGGTGGATGACAAATTCTTCAGTAAACAGAGTTTTTCCACCAGAGGCCCCGCTTCCTGATTACAGTCTATTGCTAATGACCTTTATGACCTTGAGCTTCTCCAGGTCTCAGTTTTTTCATCTTTTTTAAACAGAGAGGGTTAGACTAGAAGATCGTTAAGTCCACGTGGCTCTGAAATGAAGCAGTAACTGCTGAGTTCAGCTGCCACTTGTCTCCCCGGGATGGCACCAGGCTGCCACCTACAGTTGGCCTGGGGCAAGCAGTGCTTGAGTAAAGATGGCCCAGCAGAGCCACTCACGTGTCACTCTGGTGTGTCATCATGAACCATAGACGGTTGGTGCTGATCTGCTCCAGACCAAAAAGGGACAGGGTGTTACTTCTATAAAGGGGACAGATAAGTGGATCTGGGAAGGAAAAGCCATCTTTAGTAGGCTAAATATCAAACCCTACAGTCCACAGCAGCCTCTGCATTAGACTCCTGAAATACGTTTCAGTTGCTGTCCTGGCGGATCCACCTTCAAAAAATGAGGGAAGAGGGCTCAAGGCAAGACAGAGGGTGATTTCAGTTGGTACATAGCTTTGTAAATGGAAAACTGGGCCTCAGATCCTGCACCCAAACTTCACAGAGTCTGCCATTTCCAGGAGCTCATAACTCGAGTTGCACAGTCAGAGGCAGAAAGCACCGCCCTCTCTCCAAGCACCGGCCTCCCGCTCCTTCCATGTCTGTGGGTTAAAGATCAAAGCTTCGGACACCCAAGGCTCAGTGGGCCCAGAACAAATGGATTTAATTAGAGTGAAGAAAGGGGCAGCGTGGGCGCTCCCCACCATCGACTAGTCTCCTGTCCTTCGGGACTGTGGGGGCCGTGTGCAGGGGATCGAGATCAGGAGGGTGATGCCGGGGCCTCCCCTACTGGGAGATGCTAAATTAATTCAGATGAATCAAAGGGATTTTTTTCTCCTCGATCCAGCAAGTCCTCTCTCTTCCATAGCCACTCCAGGGGATTTCACAGCAAGTAAGATGTTGACTCTGTTCACTCCCGTACACCAGAATTTTGTGGGAAGGAGACTTTGTTCTTGGCCTCCCTCCTCCTGTTTAGGGCTGTTTACCAGACTGACATTTCCAATATTGATGAGACCAAACTCTCCAGTGGGGATTCAGACAAAGGCCAGTTTGGTTTGATGATGCCTCATGACCTAACAAGTGTGGACTTACAGAACACGTGAGCGCCCCCATTCTCAGGGAGCCTGCACACCACGGACATGCTTTGATGTGGGAAGCTGCCCCACACACACACTCCCAGCCCAGAGCTGGAGACGATATCTGGAGCAGCGAGACCCAGAGGCCAGTGGAACTGCAGGGGGACGAGGCCCGGGGCTCTCACTTGCTACAATCCAACTAGGCTATAGATGTGACTGGCCCATCAAACAGAAAAAGCACTGTAGATAAAAGAGCAGAGGCTTTAGTGTGAGAAAATCCCAAGTTTAAAAATGGGCTCAGCCACTTAGTAATTGTGTGGCCTCAGCCAATTACTGAACCTCTCTCAGCCTCAGTGTTTATATCTATAAAGTGAGTATAACAACATAGGATAACTATGATAACCTCATAGGATTATTAGAAGACTAAATAAAATGACTATCAAAGGCATCCATATATAGTAGATATCAATGGATTTTTATTTCCCATGTTCTCTGTTCTCATCCTTAAGTTATGTAACCTCAGATTATTTACTGAAAAAATAGCACAAATCACAACCACTGATCTTCCAAGTCAAGCCATGTTCTATAAGAGAGCAATAATAGCATCTACCTCTTAGGGGCTTGGGGAAGGAAAGTGCTTAGGGAAAGTGACTTGGCCCCCAGTAATTGCTCAGTTAATAATTCTTCTTCATCATCATCATCATCATCATCATCACCATCACCATCACCATCATCTCCCCACCTAATGTCTCAAAAGAGGCCAGGACTGCCGATTTAACAGTGATAACCAGTGACCCGACCCTAAGATGGAATGAGGGCCTCTTATGAGTTTTCTGTCACCAATTCTCTGTAGATTCCTTATAACAGTAAGTCTCTGATGGAGGAGAACCAAGAGGCACAGTCTTCCCTCTTCCTTCCAAGCAGAGTGAGCTACAGCTGCCCACTTTGCCAGAAAATGAAAATAGAGGGAGGAAGAAGGTAGAGGAAGGACATAAATAAGGGAATGAGAAAAAAAATAGATCAAATACAAAAAAAGACCAGCAACACCCTTCCTCTTGATCCTGAGGCAGGCATGGGCACCTGGTGCCACCTGTCCACATCCCTTGAAGCTTCCTTAGGCAGGCCCTGGCTTCAGTTCATCAGCACCCAACTGCTGGACAGTTCCCCAACTATGCGCCTAGAAGAGGCAAGACCTTTGGTCTCTGTGCTGTCCCAGATCACCTCTGCTCCCAGGCCCCCCAACTGCCACACATCAGAAACTTTATCAGGGCTTACAGGTTATCCCCAAAGAGCTCCCAGACTCCAGACCCTGGTCATAGTCCCTGGGGATTACATGAACCTAGCTTAAGCCATTATCCTCTTGCCTCAATATGGCAGTGACCTCCAGCTTGTCTCCTTGCCTCCATTTTGTTCCCCACCCATTACTTTATGAAATGTAAAGCTAATCATTTTCCTATTTTAAAAATCCTTCAATGGCTTTCTGTGGTTTTTAGGGTGCCTTTCAAACTCCTTTAATAAAATCTTTATCTAGGCCCATGTGTTCTGTCCAACATTAACTTCACCAATCCCTTTTTATACCATTCTCCCTCTATTACTCTCCCTGGTAACCTCACTGAACTTCTTTCAACTCAGTTGTACCATGCAAAATTCTTACTTCCAGGCTTTTATGCCTGCCTTTCTCTTCACCTGAAATGTTCTTCTTGTACCCTTCATCATCCTAGCTACCGCTCTTCCTTCACTTTTTAAAGAAGAATTCCTAGACCCCTAGACTAATATAGAAAACCTACAATATATTCCCATGGCCCTATCATAACTTGTCATACTTTGCTATCTGTTTCTGTCAATATCTGAATATATACCAATAAGGGAGAAATCAGAGCTGTCTTCTATATCACTGTTTCCTAAACATTAATAACACATAGTATACCTAGTAAATATGTGTTGACAGAATGAATTGAGGGAAATTGCATATATTTCCAAATTCTAGCTGAATTAACCAAATTTCACTTGTTGAAATCCATCTAACGTTCCTCCTCTGTTCAACCTGTGTCTAACAAAACTTAAAATCACATTATAACAAATACTACTGCAAAACGTTCTATATATCAGCACAATACCTGTGTCCCATCAGATGAACCCTCTCCCCCAAAATAGCATTTGTTACTCTTAAGACAACAAATTCTCCTTAGAGATTTGCCTGCTAATCTATGCTTCCTTTGTCTCTGGTCACTGTCCTGTCAGAATCTCTTTGCATAAGTGACTTGGGTCTTAATTTTGTGCCCTGGTCCTTGTAAGTAGGCAGATCACAGTTGAGCACTTTTGAGCAAACAGCTGGATTCAGGTTGCCGCCACATACAGCAGCCCTTCTGCAGAGGCTGAGGCTATGCCATAGCTGTGTGTGGGCTGATGACAGGGAGACACTGGTCCCTGGAATGATATTTCTTCTGTCCATTTACAAACAGGCAAAGTGATAGAAATAATGTCATAGTCTGTCATCATTATGAAATGATATTAGCTGTACAGCTACACTCTAAAGGCTGACAAGAAAAATCTCCAAGAGCTGTGCCCAAGATGTCTGAGCAGCGGCAGCACCCCTGGAATACAGATATGTGCTCTCAAGGTCCCCTTGAAGGACAGCGCCAATCTAAATATTGGCTTGATATGGGCTTAAACGTCATCTCATTGCTTTACATCCCCCTCATTTACCTAGTTTTCTTCATTTTCTCCCCACTTGGTTATCCCCCTCCCATTCAATTGCCACTCTTTCTGTTGGAATTAATTCTTCCCTTTGCTCAAAATGGAAGAAAGGCAAGTTCTCTCCCTTTATTCTAAATGTCAGTCTGTTGCAGGGACACACTCCAAGTTTTCCTCTTTATAATCGTATATCTTACTAAATGAAACACAATGTTCCCACACCCCTCTAAACTTTGACATGCTTATGGAGCAGAAGCAGATGCTAAGTTCAACTCATTACAAGATGGATTTGGAAACACCATGGATCAAATCATGTCCCACAAATCACTGCAATTGTACAGCCAAATAGAAAGCACATAACCTATCATATGTGTGCAGGCTGTTCCCCAGCATTATCATTATAAAGGCTTTTAGCTGTGCACTATATACAGAGTCTAACAAGAAAAAATGTCCCCTCTGGAGATACTTATATTTCCTGTTCCATTTGCATCTTTTGCCCTAAACGACAAGTGGTATGTTTCACAAA